AATTAAATTAATTTTATTTTCTTGCTGTCATTCTACGTTAATTTGTGAATTAATGAGTTTTGAATTTACGAATTATGAATTTTTCATTCCTAAGTCAGTTTGCAAATGCATCAATAAAGTAACCGATCGTCGTCAGAACTTCCCAAAATTATTATCGTCCAATAAAAATATAAGTTAAAGAAAATTTAGCAACGTACTTATGGCTACGATAAACAACCACATTCTAAAGTAAAAGTCCTCAGCAGACTTCGACGCAATTTCGGCGCTATAAAGTTATTATTCTCTATATAACAGAGTTAAATAATAATAGACGTAAACAATTTTGATAAAATTAACTGTTCGTTAAACAACTGCGCATGTTGTATTAGCCATAAATCTGCCCTTTCAAGGTTAACAAAAAATTACGTCACTTCCACAAAGTCTGTGGCATGTCCTCTTTACCTCACTGTCTGTGCAGAACATCTGTTTCATCACATTTACTCCGCGCACAGAGACATCAAACAACCTCTAAAAAAATCTTAAAAGCTTGAAGTCAATATCTCCATAGAAATCCTTACGCAAAGCTGAAAAGTTTCCGATGTCAAGGATCCAGCTGACTACAGGACATAAAATGGCATTAGCCTCAGTTAAACCGGCAAAAAGGTGCATATTCAAGTTTAGTCATGTACAACTCGTGTAAGGCTTGACGTTCATGAATGGAGTTACGTGAAAGGCAAGTCACTGTCAAATGTACTGCATCACTGTTACAATGACCATAAAGCGATTAAAGCTAAAAAGGATAGCAAAGAAACACTAAAACAGGAAACCGATTTGCGATTTGTGCCCATTATATGAGTTCAAAACTACAGAGGGGAGACGATCATATACGTGGTTGCCTAGATATTGAAAAAATTCAGTATTAGACAAGCTGTTTTTGACCGGTGACGAGAAATGAGGGGATGATTTTACAATATGGACTTGAATAAATCAAGGTTAGTATGCCGTTTGGAAGGCTCATGAGCCAATCACTAATTTACATTTCATTAATTAAGGTGCTAATTTTTCATCCTTTCCTATACTGATTTATGAAACAGTTGTAAGAGATCAGAGATACAATTAAGACTTCGGAGATAAAGACACGTGTTACAGTGCTTAGAGGAATTTGCTTAGTCAAATAAATCCTAAGTCATTAAAACACAAGACAACTAACAAACACGATACGTAAAATTCCATAGAACTTACTTCTTCAATACCTGGAATATTCGTAACCGATAATTTTTTCAAGTTACTCTGCAACTTTTTATCGTCTGTTGTTGCTGTCTTATGAACAACTTTCTTCTTCCTTCGTGCGGTGCCCTTAAAAGATACGCATATATTTCGTTACAGTAACTCTCCATTATGACAACGTACCTTGCCTCCAATCCGCACTTGTGACTGCATAGCTTTCAGTTTCTCCTGATTCATGGTTGGTTATATTTTCTACAGACAAAAAAGTTCAATCTCAATCGAAAATTTTTAATTGAATATTAACGATAAATAACGCAATTTAACTGTTTTATAAAGCTCAATATAAAATTAGCTTTGGGGTCAGAAAAATGTTTTACCTGTTACTGTCTCATACATAGCCAATAAAAAAACAGCGTTTATTACATTTTACGTTTCTAGAAAGTAACAAAATAATGTTATTAATCAGAACTATGTCGAACTAAAATTTGACGTGTTTACGCCTTTCGAAAGGAGTCGTATTTCAATGAATATAATATTGAGCAAAACAAACGCTTTCCTCAGTTTCCTACTTTAATAATTTTCAAAGATTTCTAAAGTCGAAGGAAATGTACCTTTCCAATATGTAACGGTGCAAATTAAATTCGGGTCCCTTTAAAGTTCCTATTTATTTGTAATACCTTCATGGATAATTTTGATACGGGCAAAATTTACTTGAAGACAAGTAGGAGTAAATGTAACAATCACCAAACTGCAAAAATCTGCAGGCTAAAACTGTATGAGTTCAAGGACAAATACGTCAATGAAACGATGAACATCACGAAGAAATCAAATAGATAAAGGCATTATATATCCGCAACAATGCCGTATGATTTTTCTTGCTTATAGAGGATGATCCTATTTACAGACATAATAAAGAAAGTCATTTTCTAATGAAACTATGACAAAAACTGCTGAAGAATATTCATGCAGACGAAAGTAAAAATTCAACGTTTAAGAACGTGACGAAATTGTAATTTTATCACCCAAAAAAATTTTTAAACAATATTATATAAAGCATTAAAATCCGTTTTCTTTTACTAAGACTCAAAAAATGCAGCGAATGTACACAGAAAACACAAACTGGACGAAATTTGACGCTACCAGTAAACAGAAGTCTTTTCGCCGATGCATGGTCCATCCGCTAACGAACAGATGAGAAAAATGTTCTGAAATAAGCGCCCAAGAGCTAAACGAATGGAAAGGTCTGACAAGCAGAGTGTCGGAACAAGGAAGAATGAACATGAGTTTGCAATGACAGTGAAAGAGCGAAAAAGTTAAAATTGCAATTGTTCCATCACATCGCAAAACGGTTTATCGGAAGACAAAAGGAATACCAGACTGAGTTCCAAGAGAGAGCAAACGGTTCAGACAAGGGAATGCCTCCAGGTCGATGGAAGGACGAACAGCGTAAATTTTGCGTACAAACTTGGATGTGAATTGCCAGACAAACGGTTTGATAGAAAAATCATGATCTTAATCCGGCAGTGATTCGAAAATGCCTGACGAGGATATCCGGTACGAGCCACAGATTTTTATTATTAAGCCTGTGCAAGAGTATCCTCAAAATAAAAATTTCGAAATAACAATTATATATCCCACGTGATCGACTAATTTAAGACTTTAACCTGCAATGTCTGTCAGTAAACATCGAAGATTAAAATTTCGAACGGGTTAACATATCGAATTTCCGCATTAAACGAAATTCGCAGGTATCCTTACTTCTAAGAGCAGAAAAGAAGAGAATCGTATTTGTAAACATCTACACAATCACCAATATTAATCAAGGTTTTCGAGTTTATCCACAATTTAAAACTCACATATAAATATGACTGTACTTGGCTGCATTAGCAGTAAGGAAAGTTCAATGAGCAGAATAATTAAGCTGTAAGTTAAGAATAACCGCGAAAGAATTTCTGCTTCTATCGAAGTTTAACATTTGGCTCCAACGAAAACTGTGCAGCGAAAAAATTTACAGCAAGCAGCGAAATCGCCGCACTACATCTGATTTTCAATGAAAATTAAAGCACCACAGGTATCCCATAACCAATTTAACGCCGATATCGAAGGAAGAGCAAACAAACCCTCGAAGCTTAACTATCGAACATGCGATTTAATTCCTGTAGGAAACTGCATTAAAGATCATCAGGTACATTTGTACATCTATAGCATCACCTAAACAGTCAAGTGAAACTCTTCAAGGAGTTTTACTCCTTTATCGCAAAGGGATATAAAAGGCAAAAGCCAATAAACAATTTTTGCAAACAAAGAGGCAATGGCATTCGGAAGAAATGAGTACGTAACTGAGACTTTATTGGCGCTGGCTTAAGTTTTAATTTCATCATTGATTAAGGAGGAAAGGGCTGCTACTGACTTGCTGAAAATTAAAAACAAATTTGATAAATAACATTTCTGTGCAAAAGTAGCCAGCTGCACTGCAGGATTACAATTACAGCAATTTAATAAAGAAAGAATAATTTTAAATAATTTTCATCTTTGCCGCTTCCAACATCTCTCGCTAGGCATTTGCAGCTTGTGGCATCCATATTAGCCTCAGTGGTGCTGAAGCAGTGCCCTGATGTATTTCTCATTTTTTTGCTCGCTACTGCCACCTGGTACTCATCACGAACAACGATTCGTGTTGATCCATAATGTTTCGAAGTTCTAGCCAAACTTCAGCAAATCGTAACCTGCCTACACTAACAATTCGATGCGCATTTCTGACACCGTCAGTGTTGCCTGACGGGCACGCTGCATCTATGAATCAGCAAATCAGTCAGCTTTAGTAACTCCATGAATTCTTGACTAGGTGTTGTGTCTTGTCGCTTATGATATCGCTTGAGGAAACGCCATTCTTCACATTTATTGATCCATCGTAACATGGAGTTGTGAAGATTGCATGTAAAACGCGAAAGACATATGCGAGGGAAAGCACACTCAGCGAGGAATCCACAACATTTCGTTATATAGCATTCATGCCAGTTCTTTTTCTCTACAGTTCAGCAGATGTTGAGGAAGAAAAGAAGTAACCATGAGGATAGCTTTTGTGCTCCGTTGCCAAATGTCGGTGTGGAACTGATACCTGCCTTTAGATAATTTCAATGTTGTTCTTATCATTTGTACACCATTTCAAGCATAACCGCCAGTCCCCTATATCCTTGCGTTCAACTCTAATTCACTCTGCGCAACTCAAGTCAAAGAAGTTTCAATGGTAGAATCATGGAAACTACCGTGAGCTTTCAGCCAGTTAATAAAGAAATATCAAGAACAAAAAGTGTCATCGGAGTAGGCATATACAGCAATCCGCAACAAGTAATCTGTGCGAATTTGATGGCAAAACGCATCTTAATCTCTTGCCCTTGCAATGAATTATGCGTTTCTTGTTAAGAGTGCGTGTAGATTTGCATCCTACCTAACAGGGGTCTGTCAGTGCACACCTGATGATATTCGCAACATGATTCGACTCGACACAGTGAAGTAAAAGTTTCCGGCTCCTCTATTCACCTATTTCAGTGGTCGGCATCTAAACTGGACGTCTATGTAAATGCCGTTTTACTGTTTAGCAGTTCTGCAGCATCCTTTGATAATTGCAAAGTGGCTTTATCTAAAACTCAAATCTTTTTCTATGCTCAGATTTCTCAAATCAGCGTCAAATGACATGACGTATGAAAGCTGTATAGCCCTGGATCATCGCTGTGTCAAAACAAAATAATTGACTGAACATGAACATTCAGACAAGCAGTAAACAAGAAATTCATTCATTAGGGATCTCAATAAGTGCGTTCAAACCGTCTGCCAATACTTGTGTAGGTTAATCACGTTAAATTTGACTCATGGATTGCAATTCAGTTTCCGAATGGCGTATTTTAAATAGTCTGTTTGATATTACATCAAGTATTACTGGATTCGCTGCAGCAACTGTCAAAGAGAACTTGATATGGATTCAGCAGATTTCCGCTAAACGAGCACAATCAACAGATTTACCATCTTATGCACGCCGATTCTGTGACCCGACTAATACCAGGATGAAGTACGACTTATAAAGAACACAATTCCTGATCATGTTTGAATCTTTCAGTCGTATACAAGAAATAGCTTTTCATCTACTGTAATAGTTGCGGCTACACCCGCATACTATCTGCTTGACAACTGATCCGTCTGATCCGCTTCCTTAGGCAATGGAGGAATGTTTTCTCAACACTACAAGTGAGGTTTTCAACTATCTGAAGTGGTACCGTTATTCCAGGATCGACATGGTCGTTTCGTCGATTCTTCGAATTTGGCGGGTTGAAACTGACAACAGGTGCGAGAGGCGATGACATGTCGACGCTCGACAATGCGCTTTAAAGCAATTGTACCACTGGATTGCAAAAGACGGAAACTGAAGGACAGCTGATCAGCATCGCGCAGCTCCCTTGATTACGACTGCTACATTCTGGCTACCGGTCTGATACCTGAAATGTGCTTTATCCATGCTGCATCGAGCAATATCCATGAATAATTTGTTTAATGTAATATCGTTCCCACAAAATTCCGACCCAGGCACCTCATTGTGGTGTGGGAGTGACAACGGCCAGAGCACCAAAGCACGGTGGGACACGTGCCCTGGCAGTTCCGAGCATAATATCTATGGCCGGCTAAGCTCGTGAGGTACCACTGACAGCCTGGACCAGCGAGTGGTAAATTAACATATCTAACAATCATGAACAGAAGAAGAAAAGGATATTGGCCCCAGTACCATGTACGCCCTTGGGACCTGCCTACGTCGGCGGGCCAGCAACCGAAGGACGAGGGACTGCTAAGAATCTCAGGATGCACCAGGCCGCCAAAAAGAAAAAGAAATCGACC